CAAAATCAAGCAACCGGGCCTTCCGGGCCGGGCCCGGGCCTTGAAATTTTCCGCAGGCCCGGCCCGGCCCGGAATTTTACAAGTATGATGAAATGTGTTTTGTTAGTTGCACATTTTCCGATACATCTTAACGGAACTGAAATAAATTATGTCAAAGTGGTCGGCAAGAGGCTTATCCCTTCAAAAAACTCATTTACCATCATTTTCGAGTTTGGCGTGTGCCTCCTGCTTCTTTCTGAAATGCTACTTCCATCCACTTCCGACGTTCCGTAGATATGATTGTGTTCGACACTGCCAGACCCCCCAACATATTGATTCAACGATTTCCACGCGTTCAACTCGTCAATCAACGTGTCCATGCCGCCGTAGGAGGAATTCGGGTAGCCAATGAGCTGGAACAAAGTTGCGTTTTGTATAACATGCATAACCGTTGTAGTAAAGTACTTTCTCCACAAAATCGGGATTATACTGCGCTAACGACACTTCCGATTTCACCAAAGCTCTATGAACAGGTGTTGGCGCGCTTGCAATCAGCTTGTTGAATAGGCGAGCGACCAGAATCTGAATTTTTTTTTGAAGGAGTTACTGACTAGAGGTGTCTCCAACCTGGATGTGTAGTTTCTTAGTATGTAGACCATGTTTCAATTGGGCTACAAAAATGGAAAACCTCAAGTAATCCCGATTCCTTGCTGCCAACACTGTCAATGCCCTCAACAAAATCACAAATCCCTGTGGTTGTTCGAGAAGAAGAAGGAGAATCTGAAGTTAGAAAGATGGCATTTTGTCAAACAAATGGGTGGAAAGAACCTCCAATGAGTAGCACTTGGAGTCAAGCTGTGGCGAATGAATAGAATACATTATGGCATCCAGTCCAGTTGAAGTTTCGAGAAATGACTTCCATGAGGATTCCTGTATGAAAAATTGTAAATCGAAGGTTGGACAGAAACATTTCTAAACTTACAGATTTCTCCAACAACAATTTAATACTCTCTATACAGTCAGCTTCAGCTACAGCCGCTTTTCGCTTGCGGTTTGCATTTGTAGAGTTTCGATTCAACAGATACGATATTTTGGATCCCGACCCTTCCACACTATTCACAATCCCTTGCAGTACAATAACCACTTTTCCAAGCAGCTCGATTCCATTAATTGGTTTTGAAACAAATTCATGGGAAAAGTGTTGAGCTCTGAAAAAAGAAACAAAAAGATTCCAATGTCATGTCTATCGGGAAGCACAAACGTCAGACAGAAGCAAATATTGTGGGCTCCCACCCAGTCAGCTATCAGTGAAGAAGGGAGTTTCTAGAACCGGTCAGTGTTGTATTTACTTCTCAGTCGGAGTTAAATAATGGCCTAGGGTTGAACAAAAGTTGAGCGCAGAAATTAGTGCCGGAAACTGAATAAGATGGTCGCGTTGAAACTATAGAGAATTTGAAGAATGAAATTTGAACTGTCGGAGAAGGAAAAAAAAAAGAAAAGATCAATTATCAAGAGGGCTCTCAAAAGAACTAACATTTTTCGACAAGAAAAAACGTTTGAAAAAGTGGTTCACAAATTAGAAACTCGAGTGTTAATAACTATTTATTCCAATTTTCCAAATTGAATAATTACAGAAAACTGATTTATTCCAGAAATTTTCGAAATTAACTTGGAGCTACTGTTTGAGAAAAATAACATTTTGGAAAACAATTTTCCTTTCAATTAATATATATCTCACTTCTTTTGAAAGATGTCAAAAAGATGTCAACTAATAAAATGTTTATCATGATATCAGCAAAATTTTTTTGTTGACCACTTTTTGAGATCTCTCACAGAAAATGAGATACACAGGCTCAAATTTGATGATTAGGGTGACGGTCTATTAGAGTATCTACGGTAAGTATCTCGATTCCTGTGAAAGATATAAAAAATTTGGTAACTGATGAAGCATTGGTAATGTTATGATACACAATTTATAGTTGATTACTTTTTGATATCTTTAACAGGAAACGAGATAATTGAGCTCAAAGTTGACGGTTTGTGTCTGTTTAAAAAAACATTCTTTGGTTTATTAACGCTTTTTTCACACTAGACTGTTTGTTCCAAATTTTCCAATCTCTCAATTTTTTCAAATCTTTAAAATCAACTTTGAATGTCACACTTATCAAATTAAAACTCACTTTATTGAGTCAGCAAGAATTTGGTCTTTCAGTGATAACAGCACAAATCCTGCGTCTGATAGTGAAATTCCGCTCCCTAAAATGATGGAATAACAATTCAATTTTCCCAACTATAGCTTTTCAATATTTACCTGATGGGGTCGAGTCTGGATTCTGAATGAACCTCCGTAATTGGTCGGCAAGTACGCGTGGCGAGTTGCCATTACGATCCATTCTTTAGTAAATACTTTATTGTATTACTCGTCCGATGAACATGAGGTTGAGCCAAATGTGTCGAGTCAAGTTCTGAGAGAGAAAGAGAGGGGGGAGGAAGGCTAAGTGGTGGTTAGCAATCAGGCAAGCTTTGTAGTGAATGCTGCTGTTGCTGCTGGCTGCGGCGGGGCGCGATCCGATGGATGTGTGTGGTGGTGGTGTGCCAGTTGAAAGCAAACAGTACCTCTCCCTCGGTTGATGGCTTGAAGACTCCCAGCAGCCGCTGCTGCTGTTTCTGCGGGAGGATTTCCTAACCTGCAACCCTACCGATGAGCGGAAAAAGAAGTCGAGAGTTTGCCAAGAAACACTGTGAGACACATCGTGAACGCAAACGAGAGGGTAAACACAATGTGTGGCGGAGCCGGACGGGAGGTTAAGCAACTTACTGACACACGGATCGGAGTACTAACAACCGGTAATGAGATTTTGAAAAGTTTTAATGGGAGATGAGGAAAAATTGTTGTTTTAAAAAGAGGCTATTTGCTGCAAGAATGTTCCGTCAACTTTCAGGGGCTGCACTGTTCTGTATATTCTAAACACTCTAGTGGATTGCCCCAAAACCTTTAAATTTGAGACACTGCACCTTATTTTGCGTATTAGATATCAAAAATCAGTCAACTAACAAAATGCTCATCATAATATCAGAAACATTTTATTAGTTGAAAAAATTGTGTTGTCTTTTATAGAAAACGAGATGAATAAACTCATAGTTGAAGGTTAGTGGTCATCTTGATAAAGTGTTACGGTACATTATGAATGCTGTAAAATCAGTAAAATCAAAAATAAAAATTTATGATAAATCTCGTTACCTTTGTCAGATTGAATATTTTTGAATAATCCCAAAGGTCGAAAATTCGCCAAAACACTTTTCAAACTTTGTAGAATACATAGATTATCCATTTATAACCATTTTATTATGATGGTTCTGCAAAAACGTTTATTTTCAGGATTATTTTTAATTATGATCCGTATCTGGTTTTTTAGTTTGACCATTTTTGGAAGAACATTATTCAAACGTTCGTGCATGTTGTAAACATATATAACCTTTAATGGTTTTCATGTGGAACATCCGCTTAGTTTTTTTTTCTTTTTGTCCTTTGAAGTCCTTCATAATTCTTTTCTGGATTATATTCTCAAATTATACTTTTATTCTGAAAATCCCAAAGTTCTGGTTACATCCTTATAATAATTGGTGTAATAAAACGAAGAACGTTTTTATTTCTGAAATTTTTCTAAATTACACTTCCAAGGTTTTCAGTTCAAAATGCTATTGTAATTTAACGAAAAAAAAACACAAAGAAAATGATGATCCTTGCTGTAAAACGTCCCTAACTACGCTGTAAAAAAATCTTTTAAAGTATGATGATCTTTTAGATAAGCGCATTGAAAACCTAGTTATTATATGATACAATTTTTAAAAAAATTGATTGTCACCGAGGAAGGAATAGCAGAATGCCCGGATTAAATCAACATTTTAATTCTAACAATGAGCAATTGAAATTTTCAAAATCTACAGAAAATTATCTTTTGTTTGAATGTCAAAGCTTTCAAAAAGTTGTAAACTGATAAAATGTTTATCATAATTTAAGAAGTGTTTGTCCGTTGGTACATTTTTGATATCTTGCATAGGAATAGAGATAATTAAGCTAAAACCTATAAGTATGGAGTCTCTTCTATCGCAAGTTTCAGACAAAATTTTTTATTTGACCGGACTTCTTGGCTTTTCAGAATGAATGCCAAATTTTGTATAAATCAATAAAATCTTTATTGAAATATATAACTGAACAAGAAATTATTTGATATGAACTGTTTTGGTATTTCACAACTGAAGACAAAGAATAAAAACTGAAAAAAAGATGTGAGTTAACTGAAAACTGAGGTGTGACTTATTCGAGTATCGGAGGATATCTTTTAAACTTTGAATTCACACAATGTTTGCTGAATTTATCAATACAAATTGAATGAAAACAAAGATGGCGTCGTGAAAAGACAAGTGGGGGTGATAGAAGCACCAAAATCAGTCAAAAACGGGCGTGTCTTCCACTCATACTCGTGATTTTCAAACTAAAAGGTTTTACTGGAACGGCAGCAGATGGGGAAATGGGCAGAAGACATGAGTTATATTTTTGAAATGCCAAATTTTCAAAAAAAAAAAGAGGAAAAAGTAAGTAAGTAGGAACTGTGACAACTGTGAAGAACACGGCAACGATTTAGAGTTGGCAAGTGAGAAAAAAGTTAATAAAATGTTTTTGGGAGAAGAACAATTTTGTGATTATAGGAGGACCTCGTCGTTTGTGATTTTAAAAGGGAATCATATAAAGAGCTTCTTATCATAGCAAGAAGATAACACTTTTTTAGCGTCCATAGGTCATGTATCCGTAGTATCCAGCGGTATTGTACTGATTGTAGTATGGATAGTTACCGTATCCAGCGTAGGTGTTGTAGTTATATGGTACAATGGCTCCGGCGCCGGCTCCCTTGTCGTAGTAGTTTGGCATCATGTACGCTCCGTGCTTGGCAGTCAACGCCTCATCTTCCTCTTTCTGGAAACATCAAGTTATTACTCATTACAAACGGTTTCTTTCTTCTCAATCTTCAAAGGCGCCGTCCTCCTCCGAATTTGACCCAATTTTGCAACGAATTAACGAATATCTAGTGCCAGGCGGGGGTACATTTACTATTTTGTCGATCCTAATTGATGATACAACATCTCTCCACCCGCAAACAAATAGAAAGATGTTGTTTGATAATTGAGATGTTATTTCTATTCTCATCATCCCTCACTACGATTTAGGAGGATTCAACAATAATTTTGAACTTTGTTTCCGCACTAGAGATTGTCAAAAGATTCCCCTGTTTTCTTGTTTTCCACTATTGTCATGCACGATGCCCGCCACCGCCGGAATGCTATGTCTGTTTTCGGAATATATCGTAATAATTCTCATCCCCACCTCCCCAAAACAGTTAAAAAGAAGCGAAAACGGTTTGTCTTCTTCTCCTTCCGCCCAAGGACAACACCCTGATATTAAGGAGGACGATATATCCGAACATTCCAAAGATTTATCCGAGAAAATCCAGAGATAAGGCATTCTTTTGGGTGGCGGGGAGAATTTTGCATATATGTACTAACCTTTACTGCCGCATACGCAAAGAAATAGAATGCACTGGCAATGACGATGCATCCGATTCCAATCCATGATACGATGTACGACCATCCGTAGTTGTGACGAGATGTCAGTTTGAGGACCTGGAAATATGGTAGAAATTAAATTTTCGGGATTGCGAAGGAAAAATGAAAAGACTAGTAGTGTTTTTAGGATGAAAACTATCAGGTTGATTGGTTCCGCATATTTTTTATAGTATTTGAAATAAAAATTGTGGATAATCAAATTCCTATTACTGTAATGAGAACTTCAGACTGCTAAAAAAGCAGTATTCATTATTTTGACTACGATTACCGGAAAATTACAATGTTCAAATTTCAAAAAAGTTGAAAAGTTTCATGTTTGTTGCTTTACCGTATTTACTCTAATAAAAGCCCACCTCATGCACTTTGGGCTCAATTATCTTTGTTCCTTCAATAGATATCAAGAATTAGTTAACTGAAAAATTATTTATCATAATTTGACCTATATTTCATCAGTAATAGATTTTTGATATCTTTTCCAGGAATTGTAATAATTAAGCCTAAAATTGATGGTTCCGGTGAGCTCCAACTATAGGAAATACGGTAGCTTCATATATTTAAAAATTTTAAGGTTCAATATCTGAGTTCTGATAGATTAGACGGAAAGGATTTGATCTACAAATTGTCGAAAAATCTTATATCTATTTCAGAATTTCCAACACCTCACATCTCAATTTTGATATAATTTTTAGCCTTGAAAACATGAAAATTTTGAATATAAATTTTCCGCATCTCCTAGGATCATAATTTTTTTCGAGAATTTTTTACTGATTTCCGGAATTAGGTTCTTTGAGATCAATTATCCTGATTCCTGTGAAAGATAGCAAAATTTTGTCGATTGATAGAATGTTGGTTATGTAACGATAAATAATTCAACTGTTAAAAAATTATTGATATCTCTTACATTGATCGAGATATTTGGGCTCAAAGTCGACGGTTTGAGTTGGCTTCTATCAGAGGAAAATCTTGATCATGCTTCCGATCCTATAACATTCCACCCAATCCATTCAAAACTTTCCCTGCATTTCAATTTCTTCCGGGTGCCCTTCACTCTCAACAAAATGGAAATTTTTGAAAAAGTAGCCAATCCCAGCTGATTGTGTTGCCGGACTTTCACTCATCTTTCAACACTTGATGAGAAGTGTCTGACATGATGCGGAAAAAAAAGCAGAGAGTCCAGCTTTGTAAACACCCATCGGCAGAGAAACTCAAGTGATTTTCTACGCTCATCATGTAGGCGGCCTACTGCTGCCATGCCTACGTAATTTCAAGACAATTCAAAAACTATTGAGGGCAGTTTCAAGTGTTTTTGCAGATTATTTGAATTAGAAAACCCTCCAGAAACAATTTAAAGAAACTCACGGGTTCCCAAGACTTGTAGTATGGCTCCATATCCAAAGTATATCTTTCGCTGTATGCCACGTAGTGCCAAAGAAGCATGGCAACCGACATGAAGAGTCCTAAATATTAAAATCAAACCAATTTTATCTTTTTCCAGGTGTTCTCTACCTGCGAGAATGAGCATGATTCCAGTGCCCACGACGAACTTCTTCGATCTGTTCCAACATCCGATGAGTCCCATAATAAAGCTCAACACGACGAAAACAATACCTGAACAAATCAAAAATTGGTTGCATTAATGTCAATATTTGGTCAACACGGCCGATCGTGACACCTCGTTTTGTACTCTATTATGTATAGGTTATTTAGTACAAGCTCAGTATTATAATACAGTCATATTGATGGCTTATAATGCATTGTTAGGAATAGGAGGAATAGACATACCAACAACATATGCGACAATGGTTGCCTTGGCAGCATAATGACGGTAGAGCTCGTTGGTTGTGAAGTGCTCCTTCTTGGAATCTGGCACCATGAATTCATTATTCCAGATACAGATTGAGCCAACTTTGTTGAAGCTTCCAATATCTGGAAAGTTAATTTTTGATTTTTTTGAATTCAGTTCCTGAGATTTAATTTCTGCCAATTCGTGACACCTTGTATGCGACAATCAATTTTATTGGTTTCGACCTTGGCTTGTTACTTTTGGTAACTGGTAACCCAAACTTGACACAAAGGCACTTCATTCTTCTTGTTTTGGATTGAGACTGGTAAGGTCGCCAAAGACGATTAGCACTTTTTTGGTCGACAAACTTTTTGATTTTATGTACAAGGGCGGCGAAAATTAGGCGAAATTAGGCAAAATCAAAAGTTTACATAGGTTTACAACCACCAACCTTGTGGAACGGTATCCGGGAAGCAAAGGTTGAAAAGACCGAAATTGCGCGAGAAGTAGATGAGGTTGTGTCCGAAGGCGTTTTGAAGACGTAAACTCAATTCAGGCTCCCGTTTGAATGAATTGATGATTTCTCTCCGATTCACCTGTAATGACAAATTGGATTGTAAAAAGGAAGGCATCATGTCCCTTCCATAATACTTTCTTTTCTAATACGAATGCGGATTCGTCATGTACTTCGTTTTCGTATTCTCATTCAAAGTCACTCGGCAGCAGCACAAAAAACTTCCTTCCGAACGTCTACATCCTGACGAAGAATGATGCATCCCCATTTTATTGTTACTTGCCCTATTCCTATTCTCATTACGCGCGTTTTCTGACCTTGTCCTTTCTTTGAAAATGCCTCAACGAATCCTTAATGGGAGGTAAAGAGACGGAACAGGGAGAGCAAAGGGACCAAAAGGTTTGGCTGTCTTCGAATGGCATATGTACAATTAATCCCTCTATCGCAATTTCGGTCGAAAGAGGACCCCGGGGTGACGCGGCCGGTTTCCTTTTGAAGCTCTCGAGCATCGCACCGGTGTTGTGTTGTCAACAAATAAAAGAATTGAGGATGCGATGGATAGATAGGGGAAGCGACAGAATCGGGGAAGTGAAGAGGAGCCACAAAACCACCAGGACCCAACCCAAAATTCATTTTCGAGGAGGGCTTAGCTCCATTGCTTTTTTTGTTTTTGTTTCTGAAGTGTGAATTGAAGTTTTTCTTGTCATGTTACCGCGGTTTCGAGATGCGCAAAAAAGGGAAAGTGTCTCTGTTTGTCGAAAAAAAAACACACCAAGGGGGGCGCGAATTGAAAACAGACAAACTAAGAGGGGAGGTAGTGGAAAATGTTGAAATTCGTGTTAGAATTCCAATTTAACGGGCAAAAAATTGACGGAATGATTGGAAGTTACAGAAAACAGGAATTTCGAGGGAGGCAGAAAAAAGGCAGATGAATTTAAGGGAAAATATGTTCATGGACAACTAGCAATCTCAATAGTTGTTGTGTACTTGGGAATTATAAGAAATAATAAGGAAGGAGAGATCCAGGAAAGTAGCTATAGTTAATAAGATGTTGTTAGGATTTTGTGAAGAAGCGCTAATTAAACACAGAACATCGATTTTTGTCAATTTTCATATATGGAGCTTGTAATTATCTTCCAAAAACCCTGAATAATCAAAAAGCTAGCTCTGAAATCTAGGCACAAAAATCTAGCTTGGAATTATCTACCCAAAATTCTGAATATTCAAAAAACAAGCTCTGAAATTTAGTCACAAAAATCTAGCCCGAAATTTAAGCTAAAACCCAGAGAATAAGAATTTCCAGGATTTTTTTATAAAATTGAAATGAACCAAGATGGATAATTCAAATTAAACCCTAACTGCTTTAATTCTCCATGTCCCCGACTATCAAAACTAATTTTTTTGGATATTGTGACTCATATTTTGGACTCAAATTTTCATGTTCAAAAAATTGCTAATTATCCTATATCATGAAAAAAAACACCCACCTGAACTTCCACCCAGTTATCCGTGACAACTGCCAAGCACACAAGTCCCAGTCCTATTAAGGAGAAAACGGACGCCAATGAAAGGTACAGCGGTGATGAAAACATCGGTGGACCCTGGAAAAAAAATGGTACGATGGATACTGATAACTTTTGCCATGAGATTGGCGAAATACGGCGGAAGAGAAGGGCACAAACACACACACACACAGGTATAGGAGGTGTACTCAAACGAACAACACGCACACAGTCCGCAACGCGCGGAAGGACTGGGGCGGGGTCAGCGGCGCTCTCTTTCTTACCGCTCTTCCATCCCTCTTTCTCTCCTTCTCTCTCTATCTTGCTACCTTGCATACTCGGACCGTACGCGGGGTCCCGGCAAGATCGCATTATTCTTCATCGTCTCCACACCGGCTGGACTGTACGCACGGATGCCTAAAACATACAAGGTCATCAGATATGACCCCTTGTATCTCCCCCCCACGCGCTCTCTCCTCTCTTTCCTGTATCCACACATCTTCTGAAGATTTTTGGGCTTGCAAGTTATCGCTCGCATATCTCCGGTGGTCCCCGCCTTCACTCTTGGATCTACGTTGATGATATGACCTTCTCGAATGTGATGGATAGCTCGGATAGAGAAAAAGAGAAGAAGGATGAAACCGCAAACATGTTGCAAGATATGGTGTTGTTGAGAAGTGATTAGAAGTGATAGAGTGGAAAAGGGATCAAGGGTGTGGTTTCAAAATGGATGTCGAGAAGGAAGAAGAAAAACTCGAGAAATTATAGAATTCATTTGAAAGGAATAAAACCAGCAAATTCTGAAAACATAAAACAGCTTGTAATTAGCAGATGAGACAATATAAAAAGCTCCTGTTACCATGAAACCTGTAGTAGAAGGGTCCCCTAATTCAAAAATGTGAGCCGATTTTTCTTGGTTGCTTTGAAAGATTTCAGAAAACTATAAACTAATGAAACATTGGTGATATTATGATGGATAGTTTATCAATTAAAAAGAAGGGTCCCCTAAACAACAATTTTGACCGAATTTAGTTCTAGTGAGAGGTATAAAATATTTTTCACCTGATTGAATAATTTCCATTTTATGATGAGTATTCAGTTTATAATTTTCGATTTCAGTGTACCGTATTTCCTATAATAGAAGCCCATGGACATCTATTTTTCAACCTCTCTCTCTCTCTCAGGGTGGGCTTCAATTAGAGGGTGGGCTTCTATTTTTCAATGATTAATTTTCAAAAAAAATTTGTTCAAAAGATCAGAAATTTGGCAATTCGGAAGTTAAGAATTCTGAACTTCGAGGTTTTCTTTCGAATTCGAAGTTTTCATTCTGCAATTTTAAACTCCGAAATTCGGAATTGATGAAATTCTGAGATTCCAGAATCTCAAAATACAAAATTCAGGGATTTTGTATATCAGAAATTGAGAAATTTTCAAGTTCTAAAATACCAGTTCCAAAAATTCTGAAATTTTTAATCATCGAATTTTCTCTAATAGACGCCCATGAGCTTCTATTAGAGGGTGGGCTTCTATTTTTCGAAGCACCTTGCGGGGTGGGCTTCTATTAGAGGTGGGCTTCTATTAGAAGAAATACGGTATTTGTATATTTTTGAATATTAAAAATTAAGACCAGTTGTGAATTTAATTACGGTCATGTGAAAAGCGCATATAAAAGTGCAAAAGAATTTAAAGGCGCAAGAATTACCGTATTTTTAAGCATATATCGCATATCGTATTCATTTTTGATAATTTTTGTTCGATGCGAATCGGAAAAATTGATTTAAAATAATGAAAATTCAAAAAATGAAAAAATAGAGGAACGGTTACGGTAGTTTGCTGTTTACATGCGCCTGACGAGTCCTTAGTTTGTAATTTGTACTCATTACGGACACGGGTGATAGAGCGAATTTTGGTTTTACAAAACTCCCGAAATTAAAAACTGTGTTCAAAAAAAAATTCTCACGAATTTGTAGACAGTTTGTGTTTGAAAAACAATTAATACTTGAATAAGCTTTTCAAAAATCACAATTTTCAAATTGGTTATCAATTTGCGAAAATTCTAGTAAATGGTTGAGTTTCAAAATTAATACACCTAAACGTTTTAATTTTGGAGAATCAAAATCAGGACTGTAATTTAGAACTACACGTTTACCTGAGCGATTTGAAAAACAATTACTTTTAAAAATGAGATTCTCTCCTACAAATACTACAATTGACTTCTAAAGTGATTAAGGATCAACACAAACGTTGTTCAACACGAAACAACTCCGAAATGTTATTGCCTCGTTTCCCCTAATAAAGAAACGAATTCACTTGACATCATACAAGTACCGAAGACATAGCTTACCGAACAACACAACATTTGTTTCGACCCCCCAATTTGAAAACTGGTTCAGTATATGATGTGAAGAAAAGAAAAGAGATCCATAAAAGTGTAACGGAGTGCTTTTTTTCATAGGCATGAGGAATTCAAAAGGACATTCTGAGGCCAAGCCGACCATAAAATACCAGGTGTTAGGGGTCACCACCACAAGCATTGCTCTCAGAAGTCGTCATTCATCCGTTCATACGGAGTCTGCACGTTATTGATCTATTGAAGTCCTATATTTCATATTCATATAAAACCAATTTCCAAACCCGTTCAGTTTTATCCGATAGATCGAGGTCATGTTATTTTCTTCGGATGAAAAATGGCTGTACTTTTTTTCTTTTCAACAATCCTTCCCGATTCTTCCAAATCGGCCTCTTAAAGATTTTATCTTCAATCGTACATTTCCACAGGTCTCTCTCCTCCCGCTTTCGTCAACTTTATTGACCCTAACTATTAACCTTATCTTTATCACATCTTCGTCCGAAACTTATCATCTGTACTCGTAAAATGCCGACGGGGACTATTTACTCAGGGGACCAACCACTGGTCCCTTGATAACCTTATGCGTGGTATAACATTAAGTTGAATGAGGGAATGAACAATGTTGGGCGAGTATTTGCATGCAACAAAGGGTGTGGGAACAATGAGTTTCCGTTTTCTTTTGGCTACCGTACACATTTTTTTATTTAGTAAATGAATGTTCATGTCCTATTCATGGTTGCATACTCCCTCTCAATGTTTATCTTCATGCTCCGATTGAGTCTGCGGTATTTCAAATTTATGTGTTTAGAACACTCCCCCATTCCCCGTAATCAATTCTCACGGTATCGGTGTCATTTAGTATTGAACACTTTAATGTAATCGAATACTGAAAAGCTATAGTAGTCGGTTTGAAATGTTTAGAGAATCAGAAATTAAACCATAGTGCTCTGAAGGTCGGAGCTGTTTGGAGCTCTCTACTCACAAATTTGCATAAATTGAGCATGTCGTACTGTATTTCATTGCATTTCATTTGGAGCGAAGATGAGTACTTTCTGGGTTATTTCTCTGGTATTCGTTCTGTAACTAATTTTTATTTATCCAGATGATCCATGTTTTTGGGTTAGTTGGTCCGCAATATTCTGTCTTCGAGTTAGGTTACTAGTTTTGGGTATTCTTTGTAGTGGTTGTTTTAAAGAAAAAACAAAAAAAACCTTGTTAAATGAAAAAAATGGACTGCAAATAGAAAAACAAGCTTGATTCATAATTTAACCCATAACTAAATATCGTTGAAAACATTTTCGTCACTAATAAATCGGTTATTTCATAACGCTCCAACATTAAGATTACGGTACCTTTTTCTCGTAATAGTTGTCGCATGTCCATTGTCCGTGGCAGACCATATTTTGCAATTTGTCAGGTTTTAAAACGACAGATGATCTTTATTATCACACGCTGTTCATTCAAAATACTATTTTCTTTCAATGTACGGACACCCAGTTCGTCAACTTTGAGCCAATAAATCTCATTTTCTGTAGAGATTATCAAATAGATTTCAACGTACGAAATATTTATGATAATTATAAAATTTAATAAATCCAAAGTTAATTGACCCAGAACTAAAATTAAAGGGGAGGGTCATCCTTGTAGTGTTACGGTAACAACATTTACTGTTTTTCTTTTCAAGGTTACTAGCAGAGAGTATTCTAAACTTCTTTACTAATTTCAAACATAATTTTCAATCTTCGTGGTCTATCAAAATATTCTTGGTGAGTACTTTACTGTAGTTTCAGATGTTTCAAGTTCTAATTAAGGCTAAAATCATAACGAATAGTATTCAAATCAGATCTAAAATCTTTTGTTCACAGTTCATTTTTTACTGCAGTTGCTGTTATATTATTAATAGAAATTCAATAATTTCGTAAAATTTATGCAGTAGTATAACAAAAACGTATTCGGTGTTTGTAAAAGTTTTGAGAAGATAGTCGAAATGTTCTTCAGATATTTTTGATCAATTTCTGAAATTGAACAGCCATTATCGTGAGTAAAAAGTCATACAAATGAAAATCATAACGGTGTTCCTCGAAATGGCAGTTATCCAATTCGACTGACAGTTAAATTTCGAATCCTTGAGAAAAACGAAAATTGTAAGGACAGAGGATTCTATTGTTTCAAAGTACCCCGGAAGGGTCTTATACGGGAAACCCTTTATTAGAAAAGCTTTTCTAACAGGTTATACAGCAATACAGTTTTTATTATGCTTTAAAATTTATCAAAGTAAACTATAATTATATTTGAATAATGAGCGTTCATGTAATACTGCGTTCCCGTAATAATATAACTCGTTTTTACTGTGAAAATGCAATAAACTTTGATTCCTTGACTTTTTTTTAAATAGATTCTTGGAAGATAGTTTTTACAATAAGATATAAAAAATACTTTTTTTCAGTCGATTTTCGGCTATTTTGATCATTTTCAAAAGTCTGGAACTCGGTGGACAAGTTTTCGATCACTTTGCCATTGCTCGCTTTTGTACTGTAAACACGAAAAAACTGTTTTTCGGAAATAGGCAAACAGCTGAAAAACCAGGAATTTTCAAAGCATTATGAAAATGCACAGACTGCGATCTCGTAGATAATCTGAATCGTTAATGATTTCGATTTTCAAGTCCTCGAAACTTCTAAAAAACATTTCTAGTTGCTCGTTTAATGTTTTTTTCTTCTATGTGAAATGGAAATCTCCACCACCTGTCATTGCGTAGTCTAGTCCAACAAGCGATTACCACTACCATTGATTTTTTCCCATTTCCACATTGATTTTTATTAGCCTTCCCACAGGACACGTCGTCTTATAAATGGTGTGAAAACTGCAACAGTGCTCTATTGAGATACAATAGTTACGCCATCACCCCCGTCTCGCTCACACACACTGCATACCTTTTCCTTGCCACCCCACATCACCTTTCTCACCATTTGCACCCACTCATCTTTGTCATTGTGCGTCTTATTTCTACTTAGGCCACCTCTCTTGCATCCCCTCTTTTGATTTCTTAACGGATTAATGCTAATTTTATTGTTTCTTTTCTTCTTAGCTTTTCTATACCCCAACGCCGACTTGTCTGGTTTACGCCTCTTTGAATTTTGTTTGCTATAGATACCCAAAGTGTTAGTGTGGTTTTTTTTCAAAGTTTTATGTCTTCCCATGTTTTACAGTGTGGGCAATTTGTCAGCTCGAGATGTTTCTCAGCTGGCGAGCCCATTTCCAAAAGACAAAAGTCTTTTTTGAAATCTTTGGAAATCACCAATAAGTGTGTGGATGTAAGAGTGTGTCCTCTTGGTGTAATTGACGACCATTGGGAGGAGATGGACAACTCTGGGAAGAGCTCCTCGTCTGGTTTTTCGAAAAATACGCCCGCATCTGGTGGGGGGGGGTCCAGATCGGCCCGACGCGACACTCACGCTCTCATCCCTGCCAGTCGTCGTTGTCCACCATCCTCCCATTCACCCTACGTCTTTTGACCACGCCACTCATACGCACACACAGAACGAATGGGCTGTGTTTGGGGCAAGCAGTCAAAGAAGACGACGACGAGGACGATGCATAATGTGTTAGAGGTTATTTTCTTTTCGGGGTCCCTCTCTCTTCTTCCCTCCCCTCGGTTTGCCGCTGTCCACTCGTTTGTCATTGATCGTGGATGGATCGTTTACTTGTGGTTAGGGTGTGTGCTTGGGGCCCGAAAATGTTATGACGTCGGCGTGTCCGGCCCCTCCCTCGAGCTCATTTTATACATCTCATTCATTTTGGTCCTTCCGACATCCGATTTCTTCGATATTTTCCGTTTTTGTTGATTGCTTCTATTTTAAAATTTTCCAAAATTCCCAAATTTTTAGGTAGAATGTCCTACCTGGACGGCAGCAGAAAACTCCCCAAGGACACCAGAAGTTGTGTTGGAGGATTTCGATATGAGGGGCACAAAAAGCAGCTACGACCAAGATACGCACAATCGGAAATTGGAGAGCCGTTCATACCGAAATTCTCAGCGATTGCCAGTGAGGTAATTATTATTATTTGGATTTTTAAAAATTAGTTAGAGAGAAATGGGTTTTCCTATCTTATCAAACTTCGTTTGAGTCTCAAACGGAGTTCCAAACCTCTATCTTATCCCTTACAAACATACAAGTGCTACGGTAAATTCAGAAACACCTGGTTCCTTATCTTATCGTACCTCATAGGACCAACCCTTAGTAAAATAGCGTAACAATAGAGAACAACCAACTCATTCTCTCATTTCAGGGTCAGAAGATAGCTCCACCGAACGAGGACTGGGCTGATAACACCACAGTACTAACTGGTATGACCACCGACTCTTACACAATGGAAGAGAAGGTTTTGTACGCGCCACCGATGAGTCGAGTTGTTGGAAGAAAGTGAGTCATTTACAGTACCGCGTTTTTCACTCGATTTTCAGCAATTCGGCTATTTTCAAGATTCTGGAGCTCGGCTCTCAAGTTTCCGATTATTTTGAAAACTTCAGAGGCTGTGAAACAGACCTAGGTTGAACATTTTGAATTTACAGGATTTTTTATAAATTTCTAGTTTTTGAGCTATTTTCCGATTTTTGAAGGATACCTGTTTTTTCCTGTTTTTATACTGAAACGCCCAAAAAAGATGTCTTCAGAAATTAGCAAAAATATGAAAAACTGAAAATTTTTAAAAAATTCTGTGAACACAAAGTTTTCAAGGCTCCTGAAAATGTTAAAAATGACCTGAAATCAACTGAAATCCACTGGAAAATTGTGATTTTTCATAATTTTTTGACCACTACTGTATTTAAAATCCTTCAAATCTATAAATTCGTTCATTTCAGATGCTCTCGTTTTGTATGGCTCCTTGCATCCACTCTCCTATGCATTATATCCGTGGTCAGCGCGCCGATAATGTCCTCGCTGCCAATTATCGCTCCACAGTTTGGCTTCAGCATGCCGGCAATTCAATGTGACGTGAGTAGTAGTGCCAATTTCAATTGAAGCGAATTAATCGTGATGGATTGCAGGTCGATTGTGAAGGTCTTTTATTTTTAATGGCTATTAAAACGATTTTCCTGGTGATTGCAATTGGAGTGCTCTACTGGAGGAAGGCCATGGCGGATATGCCAAGATTGTATTTCGTGAGAGCAGCTTTGACTTTTTTGGTCATGTTCATTTTGTTCGCTTTTTGGCTATTCTACATTGTCAGAATAATGTTTGAAAGATACGACAACTACAAGTATATCGTGAGTTTTCATCATTTGAAATGGTGTCAGGATTCCCACGGTTTCAGGTTTCCTACTCCACATCTCTCTTGGATGCTCTCCTTTGGACACATTACCTCTCAGTGGTGCTTCTGGAGCTCCGTAGACTCCGTTCTCAGTTCATCGTTACAATTGTTCGTGACCCAGATGGTGAGATGCACACACTCAACATCGGAGCCGGATCGATTCAAGAAGCAGCAACAGAAATCTTGAGATTCTACACAACCAGATTCTCTTCATTCAACATTCACCTGGACAACGCACGACAGACAGCTGTGGCTAAACAATCTGGAATGCAGGGGGGAACTGCTGGATTCAAAATGTACAATATTGAGCAGTTCGGAGGACAAGAGACCGTTAGTGAGGTTAACACTCGGGCGTTGATGGAAGCAGCGGCTCGGAGAAGGATTGGAGGGTACAATGAGGTTATGCAAGAGGAACTTGATTTTGAGAAGAGAGTCAAGAAGAGAAAGTGAGTTTTTTTTTAATATTTGAATATCACTTAGAAAATTTTTGGCTTAAAAACACCGATCCACACAAAAGATGTTTCCAGGTACCGCTTGATGGCTGCCACAGAAGACGCATTTGCTCATGTCCAAAATAGTGCCGATGGCAACGGACAGAAAACAGGAATGAACAATCAAATGGACTCGCTCACCGCTGCTCAAAACGTCTTCACTTGGATCGTCCGACCACTGACAAAGTACTTGAAAACGACACGTCTCCAGTCGAGACACCCATCAGCTGAAGTCACCAGACACATTGAGAGGTACCTAAATTTCAAACAGAGGCCCATAATTTAAAGCTATTTTTCCAGATGCCTCACTCTGAAACTCTCTCATCGAACCTTCCTTCAACGGTTCTTCAGCGACCGCATCCCACATCGAGAAACCATCACAGAGTCGAAATGGTCGGTGATTTGTGACGAGTCAGTGAGCTCGGGTGTGCAGCATGGAACGTATCTGGTGCTCAAGTCGCATAATTCGGTTAGTGGTTTTTTTACTTTGAAGTTCGTGAATTCGAATTCACAGAAGATTCTGGGCAGTGGAATTCGTGATATTTGAAATAGTTTTAGTAATGTTTCAGTATCAGAATTGTAAAAATACTGCATAATTTCTAATATTCGGTCAAGCTTAGAAACTTTAAATAATTCTGAATATCAGAAAATTTTCAAAATAGGTTTTTGGTATTTTTGGAATTCTCATAGTTCATTGCTGGTTGACACCAATTGTTTTTGGAACCTGAACCTATTCCGATTCGGTTTTTCGGACACAAGAATACTGTCAAGCTTCCGTTAGGGTGATAATTTTGACTTTGTATCAAAATAAACTTCCTTCAACTATTAGAAAGATCCTTCTGACTGAATTTCTTAAAAAAAGACAAACCTGACGTTTCAGTCAAAATTTATAAATTTGAACAAAGAAAAATTAAAATTCAGTGAATCTTTTAAAAATTTCCACATCAAATATATAAAGTCCAAGGCTCATGAATGTGATTTCTTTTATAAGAAATATGCCACTTTCCAAAATTGGAACTTTCAAAAATTAATAATATATATATTCAGGATGTCGACTATGGAGTACAACTTGTCTGCACAATCACAAGCATTCCATTCTTCAACCTAACGGAACAAGCCAAATCGGGAAGCGAGAAGTTTTCGCTGAAGATTAGCAACGAGTCGGCTGTCTAAATCGAAATCTAACAATTTTGAACCCCCCTATACCTGTCTATTTCATACTGTCATTATCAATGTCTTCTCACACTCTTATCCACTGCCTTTTGTAATTAATTGTCCTCTTCACCCTTGATGTTACTGTATACGGGTTCCATCTGACCGAAAAAAAACTTTCTGACATTTTTTTTTGCTGAAATCACGTCTTTGTTCTTTATGTACATCTTTAGTTTGATTTATGGTCTGTGTGTTTTATTCTGCTTTATTTTTTTTTCAAATCTTTAATTTTTCAATTTCTGGTTAATAATGAAATGTGATTATTTATTAAGACATGGATCAAAAGCATCGTTTTGAGATCGGAAAGTTTGGAATAATTTGTTTGGGTGACTTAGCATGGGGATAGATGTACATCGAGAAATACCCGTAACACATCACTAAGAAGAGAACATGTCAAATCGAGAGTATGGTGTAAAGAAGAAAAAGTTAAAATTGATAAGACGATACGATGAAAAAAAAACGGCGGCTGAAGACTTCAGATGAAAAGTCTTGGGAAGATGAGACTTCTCTTCTTTCTGCCGAATCTGCTGTTTGTGATTCTCTGACTGTTGAAAAACGTGGAAATTCTGTCGTTGATGGTTGGATCCATATCGTAGACGATACCATTCTCGTCCATGAACTGGTTTGGCGAGAAGTTGTCGTTGATCTGTTTTTGCTTTAAAAAAAATACGAAAATTGATTCCAAAATAGCCTAAGTTGCTTACCCAATCGTCTTCCCCGCGTAAATGAAGAATCGGACGGAAATCGGTGTTCTGCATGCCTAACCGACGGCGTGTTAGCTTCTCGGATCTGTAGGCATCGAGAAGACTCATCGATGAGACGATTGTGACGATCAGGTTGAAGAAAAGGATCTGACGGAATATCTGTGACAGCATGACGAACTTTTGAAGATTGGGCTGAATACGGAAGTTGAGACAAGAGAGAAGGGGGAGGTGGAGATGATAGTTTACAACTGACAGATGCGCCGGTTTAAATAGAAAGATATGATAATAGAGGATCGAAAGAAAAACACAAAACGACGAAATAGAATTAGGTGAGGGACACACGACGACTTCTTCTCTTTTTACACTATCAGAAAAGGGTGGTATCATACTGTCACACGAGGCGACGACACATAACAGAGACGAGAAGGCAGAGAAGTGAAGATGTTTGAACTTTGGGCTTTGTCATCTCTCCGATAAAACCTATTACGACCATTTGATTCAAAAAATGATGCAAATTGTTTGGTTTCGGTTTTTTCCAGCTTTGTTTTGGAATACGAAAAAAAAGGAAGCAAATGATGTGGAGTAGTAAACAAAATAAACCTGAATTCGATTGTTATTGAAATAATAATTTTCCAATAGTTGGAAAATGTGTTATTTTTAAATTAAATTTGTCTCTGAACTTTTAAAGATTAACACAAACAGTTCATAATTAGTGTAGAACAGAAATTTGTTTTTCAGATCATCCAAAAATAAATTCTGTTCTATTGGGTAAATTTCCAGTAGGAAGAACATTTGCAATTTGATCTACAGTATTCCCCTTATTAAGAATTTTCCCGAAGTGTCAATTTGGAGCTCAACAATAAGTCGGTTCATAAGAAACACGAAACGTATATGATTTTCGTACATTTTGACAAGTTTCAGGATCTTGGAGTTCGGCTGTCAAGTTTCCGAACAATTTGAAAACTTCGGCGGGTCTAAAACAGACCTAGATCGAAAACTCTGCATTCATAGAACTTTTTGAAAATTTCTAGATTTTCAGTTATTTGCCATTTACTCAACGACACCCTTTTTAAAAAGAAATTTAAATACAATATTGTCAATCTAGAGTTGTTTATACGCTCTGAAATTTTCAAGGTGATTGAAAATTCGTAAGCCGAGCTTCTAAAAACGTTCAAAACGGCAGGAAATCTATTTTATATTCAGGAGGCAAGCTTATCTTCTAAGCCAAAACTTTCCAAAGCTTAAGTTTTGATCCATTCTCTTACCAAAGAACATTTTCAGAAATGACACCATTACCTTGAAAAACGAAAACTTGAAATTAGAAAAAATTTATTGCAAAAAATACCTATTTGAAAAAATCTGAAAGTGTAATAAAGACCAGTTGAAAATTTGGTGAGATTTTGTAATTTGTGGAGTACAAAACGAAATACATATGTCAATTATTATATCAATTTGTTTTCTTAGTTGACTTTTTGAGAAGAACAAGAGCTAGTATCCCAAAAGACACTACTGCAACTACAGTGACCAGTATGAGCCACATGGTGCAGTAGAAATCGCATTCCGGTGGTCCCCAAGTTTGTTTATTGATTGTCCCCGCGGTGTCTCCCAGAAATCTGAATTGTTTTGCATCTGACGCCACTTGATGTAACACCATCCATGTGCAATCCTCGATCACGCCTGATGATGTATCACATTTCCAGCATTCGGGCGTCTCAGCGCATTTTTCCACCCTGGAAATCGTACACTATTTTACGACGTCACACACGACCGTGTTTTTCGTTTTTCGTCGGGTGTCAAAAGACAGTCGTTCAAGAAATCATTAGATCGGACGACGACGACGACTTTTGAAAACAAAGTGTTAGAAAAGAAGACACTAAAATGTTCAATGGAACTTTGTAATCTCTATGCAATAAGGCTCTGATAAGAGGGGAATCCTGATCGTTCTCTGAGTTGTCTTACCATCTGATCAGACTTATAGCATCATTCTTCAATAAAACGGCCATCGGGAAGTGAGGCATCAACGAACTGGAGGGGAAGTACGGACGATAGCCTATAATGTATGTGTCTTTTTCATGATCGCCCAAAGAACAATCAGTTCCCTACCAGAAGACGTGACTTTTCGACGTTTATCATGTGAAATGTATGTGATCGCGTATTTGGACGATCGTCTGAACGGTCCGGCTTGCATCAGTTTGGTATTCAGAATTTCCAAGTCATGAGTCAACCACAGTACGTTTGAGTGATGAGTAAGGATCTCCTGGAAATGAGAAAAACCATTGAAACAGAAGAATCCCATCTGCGAACAACGTTTCTGATCTACAATAAACTTGTGACGTAGTATCGTTCGTTTCTGACTAGCACCCTAGATCACTGTGCTAGTGACGTTTCGAAGTGGTCTTGAACCCATTGGATCTCTGGGAATGGCTTAGTTCAAAAAGTTTTGTCATCATAATACAATCATTTCTTGTTTTGAATAAATCATCATCTCGGAGAGATATGCTGATTTAAGATTTATTGTTTTAGCTAAAAGTGATATCATTTCGGATCAAAAATGTCTAGATGAACTTTTTCAAAAATCAAAACATTGATCTAAAATTAGTAAAATGGTTCTAAAAATGACAGTTTTCATGATGCGTGTTTTTTAACTTCAAGCATTTTTTGAAAGTGTGGCAATTGTTTGTGTTACAAACTTTGAAGATGGTTTTGGTTTGAAAAACATGTTGAACTGGAAATTATGAAATGCTGTAAGTCAACTTTGACAAATCTTCCGTATTTTTCCGTACCTTTACCCGTAAATTTGTGATTTTCCCGATTTTTTTGACCGGACGTTTCAGAACTATCGAATTTCCTAACTGTTACAAAACCGTGAAGTTTCATTTTAGAACCGTGAATTCTTAGAAGCTTGATGTTTCAGAACCGCGAGGTTTCATAGCCTTGACGTTTCAAAACCAGGACGTTACAGAACCATGAATTTTCAGAACCGGTTTTTTTGGAACCGCAATGTTTTAGAAGGGTGATGTTTCAGAACAGTGACGTTTTAGAACGACGACGTTGCAAAACTGACTGTTACAAAACGATTGGCAAATAGCCGTTCTGAAACGTCGTGGTTCTACAGCGCCGAGGCTAAAAAACGTTGTGGTTGTGAAACATCACGCTTCTGCAACATTGTGGTTCTAAAAGGACCGGTTCTGAAAAAGTCAAAAAACCAGCATAATAGGAAAAATAATTAGAAAAATACATTCGTGTAGTCCTCGTGGACAAAAGTGTTTACCAGAAAATTTCGGTAAATTTTAACCTGTCAAATCTATCATCATATAATTATCAGTAAAACTACCGAAAAAGAGTTTTCTCGATCTTTATGATGTTCTGTTGCCTTCATCAATAGTTCCACCTCACCTTCAAATAAAATGGTGTGCTCGCCGCTTTCCCATTTCCCCTATTTTTGAAATTCACCACTTCCACATTTCTAATACTGATTAATTGACTCTCCAGCGCGGTCTGAAATAAAGTATAACTTCTGATGATTTTTGCCTTACGATGTTTGATTCACAAAAACTGTCTTTTTCTTTACTTTGTACTGTTCATATCTTGTTTTCCTTTTCAACTGATTGTCAATGTTTCTTTTTCATAACTTAACATCAGTTTTGTTTAGTTGCAAGCCTTGTTGGTATCATATGAGAATTTTCCTACCATCTTTCTTTTCTCATCAACACATACACGGTAGATCAAGAAAATTAACTGGGTTTGATGGGTTTTTTTTTCCCTGACAAAGAATGACCTCGACGTGATAAAAACCGTCGGACACGAAAATACAGATACTGAACGAACCCCGTTGGCATGATCAAAGATAATCAACTTTGTCGTTGGGAAGTTTCGATGGATCGAAGCGATGAGCACCAGAAGCCGGTTGACATCATTCATAGAGGCAGACAGCCCAAACACAAGGTCATCGGACCTGCAATCGTATTTGTATTATTTTTAATGATGAATTGTGTGTTATTGAAAACTATAGTTTTTGATCGAGGAAGAGTTGTGACTAAAAGGCGAATTCGAAAGATCACTCCTATCAATCTGGGTGATCTCTGTTATAACTGAACCGACACATTTGGCGTGCTACCTTGATCGAAACGTGCAATATCATTTTCATTCTGTGTTAACGTTCACAGATGGTTTTAGGGGTTACAAACTAGAGATACGGGGACTTTCCGAAAATATATATTTTTTGTCATGTGACCGGAAAAGATGATAGATCAGAAGTCTAAATATTTGCAGGCGGTGATGATGGATCATAAGCAAAACTGTCGGGTACAAGTTTTGGGGGTGATGAAAAAAGGAAAGCGTAGGGACAAGAATCAAACGTATCAAAGTGCCAAATTTAGGACAAAGTTAAAAGGGGAAACACATTTGGAAATAAAATTTTGTTATGTGTATGAATTAGGAGATACAGTACGGGTGAATAAGATATACAAAAACTCATTTTTCAGTTGATATCCCGGTCAATTTGACAGATTAGCAAGGGGCTGGGGCTGGGTTGTCAAGTTTCCGATCAGTTTGAAACTTTTCGGGAGTTTAAAATATAACTAGATTGGAAGTTTTGCATCACACAGGGACAAAAGGGGTATCTTTCAAAAATCGGCAAATAAAAACTCTGAGAATGCAAAGTTTTTAATATAGGTCTGTTGCACATCTTTCATAGATTTCAAAGTAATGGGAAACTTGACAGTCATGCTCCGGACATCTAAAAATGATCAAAACATCGGAACCGGACTACCGCAAATCGTCAAAATGGCCGGAATGCCAACTGAAAACATTTTTTTTCTGTAAATTATTGAAAAATCCTGAGTCAAGGAAAAAATGAAAACTTCAAGTTCATTTTACATATATTGGAAACCGAAAAAATAAACTCATGTTATACGAGATACCATCCAAATTGACAGAATATGTGAGAAATCGATCACAATTTTGAATGGAAAGCAGATTTTGAATTTTTTTCATTTAATGAAATATTTTGGATCTTCAAAAAATCCAAAAAAATACTCAAACTTTGAATTTAAGGGGGTTTGTTTTCAGAAAAATCATTAATTAGAAAGACTTCAATATTAGGTTGGAAGGAAAGTGAATGTCCATTTTTTTAATTCGTGAATAACACAAAAATCAGAATTATCCACGATTGACAGTATGCACCGTTGTGGTCCACGACATGCTCACAACATTTAGGTATCTTGTGAATGACATCCTTCAAAAAGCCAGCTGACCGCGAATCAAAGTATGTCTTCAGTGCCGTATTTATCTCATGGACCGTGCAAAATCAATTTCCTTCCAGATGACGTTGCATATCTCAATAATTAATAATAAAAGGGTCAAGTCTGGAGTTTAAGAAACGTGGACAGCCGTCCATTCAAAGCGGCTTAGGACTGAATTGTCTTTCCTTGAATGACGCGATATCCTATGTTCCACGGAAAGTCAAGTAAGATCTGAGCCGCTTCAGCTGGGCGGTTCTTCTTTACGCCCTCTCAAACTCTTGGTTTGGGTCTTTTATTTTTAATAATTAGGAGATATGCGTCATTTGGAGGGAAATAGTTCAACACTGTAGATGAGATAAAATCTGGACTGAAAAAAATACTTTGAGTCGCGACCAGCTGGCTTTAGGAGGTATGGTATCCACAAGTTATCTGAATGTTGTCAACATGTCCTGGACCATACTGCTAATCTTGGATAATTCTTGTTTTTGTGTTATTCACGAATTAAAAAATGGACAGTTACTTTCCTTCCAACCAGAGATCCACGGACAGACCACTCAAACACTTTCGGACAACGGGAAATGTCCGAAGTTGACAACTGTTATTAGGAGATATGCAACATCATCTGGAGGGAAATAGTTCAAGACTGTAAATGACATAAAATCTGCACTAAAAAAATACTTTGAGTCGCAACCAGCTGGCTTTTGGAGGGATGGTTACTTGAGTATTGTCAGCATGTCCTGCACCACGACGGTGCGTACTGTCAATATTAGATAATTCTTGTTCTTGTGTTAATCACAAATGAAAAATGGGATGTTACTTTCCTTCCAACCAGAGTTCCACGGACAAGCCACTCGGACACTTTCGGACAACGGGACATGTCCGAAATTGACAACTGTCCGAATGTGTACGAGTGTGCTGTCCGTGCACCTCTGCATCCAACCTAATACAAGGAACCTACATCATTTCTCAAGACAGCGTTATTTCGCAATAAGGCGTATTGTTTCGAGAAAAACATTATTTTATGATGGAGCCAAGACTACGACAGATATAGATAAAGATTTTAAGTAAACTAGTTACGAAAATTCCTTAATCTCAAACTATTCAATATCGAATACCTTTTTAAAGCCGTTTTGCTACAAAACTCAACTTTCCTACTGGTTTCAAAATTTTCAAAATATCTTGAATGTTTTAATTTTTAAAACATTATTTTTTCGAAGTTTGATCCGGGCCGCCACACCGGAAAACTTTAGATTCTGTCCGAAGCGGCGAAATTCATGTGTTACTAGCAAAAATTAAAAAATTAAACGAGCAAACTTTTATAGGCAACTGATTTTCTATAATTTTTACTAAATGGGATTTTATTCGTTTCTAGTCTTCTACAAACCTCCGGATCCATCCATCATAAATCCAATTTTCTAACCAATTCTTTTTTTACAATGACTTTTTCAATGTTTGCAAGGTTTTCTAGGGTCAGTTGGCGTCCAAATAGCAAACGAAAAGAGATGAGAGCAGGTGGCGACATCCCCGTTGTCTCATCAATGTTTCAAACAAAATTGAAAATTAAAGAGTGGTCTTCACCGTCAAGGTCAGTTCGACTTTAAGTTCTTTTTTTGGAATCTTTGATTTTTTTTTCAAAATCTTTCCCAAATGGTCCCTTACAATAGAGAAATCTAACCTCGTTTGCTCTTCTTTTTCCATCAATTCTGGACATGTTACGAAACATTTGCCGCACAATTGTGAGTCATCCGGATGTGGATAACAATTCCTTGTTTTCCCGCCATCACAACTGCATTCTTGCGAAACATTCAACCAGAAAGGATTGCCATATGCTTGAAATTGTACAAATTCTGCGACTTCTTCGTAGAAAACCTGCGATGATTTTTAAATTTTATTTACCGGAAAATGTGAAGTGACTTACTGTTATACAAGTGATGAAAAACCCGATGCAAACGATTTTGAAAAATAAGGATTCCATATCCGACTTCTATTGACTTTAAGTGTTGTGAGGAGAGTAGTGAAAAAGGAGAAGAGGATCTGTTCTTGGCAAAAATCAATGCGCAGCCGACGACGATGAGCTTATTCTCTGGAGAAGCGCACAGTGAGAGTGTGAAGACGCAGACGGCGCGTTCGTTTGCTCGAGGGGCCATTGGAAGGAGAAGAAGAAGATCTTGATGCACCCGTCACTTGTTACCCCCGGTCATTTCTCATGAATTTCTTTTGTCAATTGAGCGCAGCGCAGCAATTGGGTCTTTTCTCACTTAATTCATCATTTGGAAAAGATGCGGAATTTTCGCTTTTCTCATAAAATGTGTGATGTGCCCAGTTTGTCATTTCGAAACATTTTTTCAGATATCATGTTTTTGATTATCTTTCTCGAAGATATCTGGCTTGAAAAATTAATACATGGTCACACTCAATTTTTGCTAAAAAACAAAAACCCAATATTTGACTGTATCCCGGTTTTTCAAAATTTTCCATACTTAAGAATCAGTTCGCGGATTTTTTCCAGTTTGTCCCGAAATTTTTTCCTAGCAAAAAATTTTGGGATACCAATGCCGAGCAATTCTGAAAGGGGTCTCAACCTGGTTCAAAAGAAAGATAGCGATACAGTACTGCTTTCGCACTTTCACTTTTATAAGTTCGATGCAATTTTCAGAGCCCAGCTGTTTTCCGAATATACTCTCTAAGTTTCTAAGATTATAATTTTGCAGTCTAATTTTTACAGTTTGATTTTTGGAGAATTCTCATTTTGCGTAATTCAAAATTTCCTATTATCTGATAACAAACCAATTCAACACTATGGTCTAAAATCCAAAAAATCCTGCAGTCTTGCGTGTATGTCAGCCGTCGGGGCTTGAACTTTTAAGATCATGGCAGGCTGCATATCGTAACTCCAGAAAAATTCCGAAAAATGTCCCATCTCTTCTCTTCTAAACGGATCTCTCATCTATCTCCCAACCCTGAAACTTCCACTAAGAACCACGATTTTGAATGGGAGTTTTCTATTTTCCATGGTCTCTTCTCTCCAAACATCTCACATTTTTCCGCTTCCCTTCACCCCCATTCACTTTTTTTTCTCTGAGCAATTTATCACTCTTTTTAGTGCCACCCGTGGTCAGTCCCTTCCCAGTTTTTTCCGCTTTTTTCCAAGTTCGGTTCTTCCCCATTTGGTCGCCGTTAAAGAAAAACTTTCCTATGCTTTTGTTTTTTCATTCCCCTTTTTGGGCATTTTTTTCTCTTCGCTTTTCTTTTGAGAATCATGATTTGATTTCTATATTTTCTATTGGTTCTTTTTTCGGCTCTTTTCTGAATCATTGCGAAACATACAACATGAAACATCATCACGATTCCTTTTTTGCGAATCTGGACGCGGGGCAAATGTTTTCATAATGATTCACCTTGGATCAAAAATCGAGGGCAGGTGTAGAGGATTTTTTTTGAGGTGTTATGTTTGAAAAACTCGAAAAAGTTTGAAATAGAAAAATCGAAAAATTGACGGTTCAGAAAACATGAGAGCATTGAAAACAAGTTATAAAGAGTACAGTGTCTTCTCTGCTAGAAGCCTGTTAACTTGAGCTTAATTGTCTTGAAACCTGTGAAAGATATCAAACATATGTCAACTGATAAATTACTTATCATAATATTACCAATATGTGTCAGTCAACTGTTCACCAAATTTTGCTATCTTTTATAGAAGAGATACCGAAAAAACCTCTAATAGAACGACACCCGGATGTTGCCGGGGGAGGGGAGTGAATAATGGAAGACAGGGGAAA